CGCGTGTCGCTCTACGCTCATGTAGAGCGCCGTAGGGGCCTTTTCTTGTTGGACGCAGGATGTTTCACTCTGTCGTACGGAGCATCTTATAGTTCAACATGCAGCTGTACTCCTGTCCTGGACGGGTTGATACGATTTGACCAATAAAAAACTTGGTGGGGGCTTGGAGTTGATCCTCCCGTGGATGCTCATTCTCACCCCCAGCCCCAACCAAACACTATCATGGACCATGGAGAAGGCCAATTCTAAACCAAGTTAGAGGTGCTTAGCAGTGCACTTAAGACTGTTCAAATCAATAATAATCCAGGTAGCTCTTATTCCCTTTTGATCTAACTGATGAAGTAAATCAAATACAGCTTAAGAGTTTTAGGTTGCCCTGTTCTTTTTGCTCTTAAAAAAACTGTTATTTGTTTTCCACTATTTAATATTGTCTGGCATTTGGATATTAAATGTTCTGCTATCACCATCATGAATTTATAAACTGTATGGGCTTCTTTGGAATGCAATAAGCTTGCACGGAATGATGCAATACCCTAGATTTCCTTTCAAAATCCTTTGTTCCATGTTGGTCCTATAGAAGAAGATATATGCTATTCGGAAAGATTTTGAAATAGTTGAAATATATGCAGTGTTCATTTATTATGTCACTTGCTGTTTATATGCTATATAATAAGTGATTAAATGGATCGATGGGTCTTTGTCCATATGCAACTGATTTTTCCAGGGATATGATTTCTCATGCATGACGATAAATTGATAATCAGTAAATAATCTTCTATAAATGGTAATATGCTTGTATTTTTATTTGCCATCTCATTAAATGAGTCGTGTATTAAGCCTCTGCGGGTCAAGTCCCTATGTTGTGTATTTAGAGAGAACAAGTTATCCTGGTCTTGACTCTAATATTCACAATATTTGATCAGGTGGATCAACTTGAAGGTCCCTTTCCAAGAAGTCTATGGGGGTGTTCGGTGCAACTTGAAGGATGCAGTTCAGTTGGCTGGTCTGACGTGGGAGGGTCGTGCCCACTGTGGGCTTGACGACGCTCGCAATACTGCTCGCCTCCTTGCGCTGTTGATGCACAGGGGATTCAAGTTCTCCATCACCAACTCGCTTGTGTGGCAGCAACCTTCCCCGCTGGCAATAACGTGCCAGCCATCCCCATCCCCTGACCGTTCTCCAGACCTCACCCTGTTGCAGCAGCACAAGGCAAAGGAGATGTTGGGACCTCATCTCCATGCTCACCCATATGCCGGCAAGGCCGCTGGACAGGTTTGCTTCTGTGGAGCGCCGAGCAGGCCGAACACTGTACGCAAACCGGGTCCGATGCAGGGAAGGCATTTCTATGGATGCGGCAACTGGACCGTCACGAGGCGGGCCATATGCACGTTCTTTGCATGGGCGTCGTGAATATAACGACGCCCTGTCCTTCGCGGAAGTGGGCTGGTGCTTTAACTAGGGGAGGCTACTAGTGGCGGCCTTGCCGTGCCTCCCCCTTGGTATATATATGATATATGACTTTGCTCATAAGACAATGGGAGTTGACTAGGTAGTATCTAACCTGTCATACTGACTTCTGTTGATAGAAGAGAGTGGGGATGAGATGCTGCTTAGGATGCTTTATCCGCGAATAATCTTGAAGTTTGTGGACGCTTGTTTTTTCTTTTCTTTTAACTCAAATGGAACTCTAGTAGAGGTGTGCTTTGTGAGTAGATGTTGAAAGTGTGGATTGTGTGTGTTTGGTGCCTGGGTATTGATAATCAAGAACAAGTTACATATGGAACTTGAATCGCATCTGAAGATGGAAATAGCAGCCGGAATGATTATTATTTTTGCCTTTTGAGGGTTGCAACTGAGTTTTCTCTTTTCTCCGAGACCCAGTTTTGCTGTTGAATTGACAATTCTTACAAAGAAATTGTAGGTGTTAAATTTCACAAAATCCACCTTTAGGTATCTTGTGATGTAAAGCTGTAGAAATAGCCCTAGGCCTCCTTTTTTTATTTAAAGGAATTGTTTGTAGAAATGAATTCCTATTCTTATCTAAGATAGGAATCAGTTCTTTACATTTCGAAGTAAAAGTAAATATTAGCGTAGACTCAATGAAAAAATTCTTAAGCAAAATCATATGTTGCACTTAGATGAGCTCAGGAGCCGAAATCAAAATAATGGTCAAAATCATATGTTGCACTTAAGATGAGGGAGCCGAAATGGATATTCGCCAAAGGAGGCCCTAGACTGAATGTGAATGTGTTACTTACAATGTTTTTGTCGAGTCCAAGGTTAAGCAGAAATAAGAGAAAAGGATGGGTCGACATGTATATTTTGTATAAATCTGCTTCACAGACGGATCGGGCACCAATATTTTCAAAAGAAAAAGAAATTGTTGATGCACATTGTCTAACGGAGTTTGGGAATTGTGTAATCCTAGGAGTTTTATTGAAACACTGTGATGCTAAACATCATTCACACCGGCAATAAACACAATACTTCAAACCGAACACATGGGACACCTCTTCGAAAACCTTCGAAGACTTTGGATTTGTCAGAGATCATTAGGACAAAGCAGCAAAATTTGTCAAAGATGACAATAAAGTATTGAGACTGATATTAGGTTGAATCCAAGAGATTCGACAAACATCACTTTATTTATGTGTTGATCCTTTGAGATTGTAACCCTACGACCTAATACCTTACTTTTCCCTTTATCAGCAAATGTGATGTGATTTTGTGTAGGAGGACGTAGAGTTGAGTACATAAGTAAGCTTCGATCACCAGTCATATGGTTAGTATAGCCACTGTTTAGGATCCACTCAGTAACTTTAAGAAATATATTCTACATTACAGTTAGTGGGATAGGTTTCACCAAGACAATTTGAGTGACAAACATAATACGAGAAACACTTTCAAGTAAAGTAGGTTTCTTGGAGGATATAACAGCGTGAGCATCAAGAAATCCAGGGACGAAATAAATGGTAAGACTATTTATACACTTTATCTTGCGTCCGACAAGATGTTTCAGGTCTTCAACATTGTCTTTAGATTCCAATGCATTTCACCTGGAAACCCGACCCCGCATGAAAAGATTTGTTCTTAACCACCCACATATGTAAGGGTGGCTTAGAAACAATGAGTCTAAGTGCAACATATAACATTTTTGGCTTTGAAGCCCTAGCAAATAGATTCACGGGGGGCTAGAATACTCAAATGAATATGTACAAAAAAGTACGATTTGTGAGCATAGTTGATACGTCTCCAACGTATTTATAATTTTTAAGTGTCTCATGCTATTATATTATCAATTTGGATGCTTTATATGCAATTTTATATCATTTTTAGAACTAACCTATTAACCTAGTGTCTAGTGCTAGTTCCCGTTTTGCCTATTTTATTGCTTCACAGAAAAAACAGTATCAAACGAAGTCCAAACGTGATGAAACTTTGCGGTGATTTTTTTGGACCACAAAGGACCCTGGAAGCATCAGGAGGAGGCCAGAAGATGTACAACCGGGCCACAAGCTCACACGACGCGCACCCAGGGGGCACCACCTAAGCTTGTGGGCCCCTTGTAACTCCGTTTTCCTTAATTCTACTTCTATAAATTCTATAAATTTCCTAAAATCCGAAAACCACCAGAGCGAGACCTGAAACAATTATTCTGCCACTGCAAGCCTCTGTTCTTCCGTGATCCCATCTAAAGGCCTTCGCCGGTACCTTTGCCGGAGGGGGAATCGATCACGGAGGGTTTCTACATCAACCTTGCTGCACCTCCGATCATATGTGATCATTTCACCAAAGACCTACGTGTCTATAGTGATTAGCTACATCTCTCTCTCTCTCTCTCTCTCTCTCTCTCTGATATTCAATACAATGTTCGCCTCAGAGTTCTATTCGATGTAATCTTCTTTTACGGTGTGTTTGTTGGGATCCGATGAATTGTGGGTTTATGATCAGATTATTGATTGAAAGTAACTGAGTCTTTTCTGAATTTTATTATGTGTGATTGTTATAGCTATGTAATTCTTTTCGATCTATGAGTTTTCTTTGGCCAAGTTGATGAGTAGATCTTTAGTGGAAGTGGTGCATAGTAGTAGGTTCAATCTTGTGGTGTCCTCACCTCGTGATAGAAGGGATAATGAGGCACTTATTTGTATTGTTACTACTAAGGGGAAAACGACTGGGTTCAATCACATTGCTTGATTTTATTCTGACTACATTATGTCATCATACTTCATGCATTATTTTGTTTGTTATGAACTTAATACCTAGAGAGGCAAGTATAAAAGCTCTCTCAAAGTGGAAGTGGAGTAATAGTAGTAGATGCAGGCAGTAGTGAGTCTACTTGTCACGGACGTAATGACTTTGTACTGATTATGCAATGAATAAGCCATAACTATGCACTTTTGTATCAATTGCCCAACAGTAATTTGTCTACCCACCATATACTATGTTCTTGATAGAGATGCCTCTAATGAAAACTATGGCCTTCGGGTCTATTCAACATATTTACTAAAACCTTAAAATACCTTGCTATAATTTATTTACTTTTATTTTACTTTGCAATTTATTTACTTAAAATACCTTGCTATAATCTACTACTATCAGATTTAATCCTTGCAATTAACGAGTAGAAGGGGATTGACAACCCTCTTGCCCGTGTTGGGTGCAAGTATTTACTCTTGTTTGTGTAGGTACTGTCAACAGTTGTTTATGAACATCCTGAAGTTATTAATGTTATTAATATTATTAAAAATAAAAAGGTATAAAAATACTTTTTTTCATGAATAAAAATTACATGCAAATGTAGGTGATGTTTTCTGAACATCCTGATATCTTTTTTGCATTTTTTTGAGTTCATATCAACTTGTTATGCATGTTCAAACGACTTTGACCATTATTTTGAAACTTCATAACAAGTTGATATGAACTCAAAAAAATGCAAATAAGATATCAGGATGTTCACAAAACGTCATCGACATTTGCATGTAATTTTATTCCTGAAAAAATATTGTTTATGTTGGGGAACGTAGTAATTTTAAAAAAAAATTCCTACGCACACGCAAGATCATGGTGATGCATAGCAACGAGATGGGAGAGTGTGATCTACGTACCCTTGTAGACCGACAGCGGAAGCGTTATGACAACGCGGTTGATGTAGTCGTACGTCTTCACGGCCCGACCGATCAAGCACCGAAACTACGACACCTCCGAGTTTTAGCACACGTTCAGCTCGATGATGATCCCCGGACTCCGATCCAGTAAAGTGTCGGGGAAGAGTTCCGTCAGCACGATGGCGTGGTGACGATCTTGATGTTCTACCGTCACAGGGCTTCGCCTAAGCACTGCTACAATATTATCGAGGATTATGATGGAAGGGGGCACCACACACGGCTAAGAATATGATCACGTGGATCAACTTGTGTGTCTAGAGGTGCCCCCCTGCCCCCGTATATAAAGGAGCAAGGGGGAGGAGGCCGGCCCTAGGAGGGGTGCGCCAGGGAGTAGGATTCCTACTCCTAGTTGGAGTAGGTTTCCTCCTTTCCTAGTCCAACTAGGAGAAGGGGGGAAAGGGGGGAAGAGGGGAAGGAAGGGAGAGAGGGGCCGCGCCCCAAACCCCTTGTCCAATTCGGACTGGGCTTGGGAGGGGCGCGCGCCACCTCCTGGTCCTTCCCACTAAGGCCCATTAAGGCCCATTGCTTCTTCCTCGTATTTCCGTAACTCCCTGGTACCTCCAAAAATACCCGAATCACCCGGAACCTTTCGATGTCCGAATATAGTCGTCCAATATATCGATCTTTACGTCTCGACCATTTCGAGACTCCTCGTTATGTCCCCGATCTCATCCGGGACTCCGAACTCCTTTGGTACATCAAAACTCATAATATAACTGTCATCGAAACCTTAAGCGTGCGGACCCTACGGGTTCGAGAACAATGTAGACATGACCGAGACACGTCTCCGGTCAATAACCAATAGCGGAACCTGGATGCTCATATTGGCTCCCACATATTCTATGAAGATCTTTATTGGTCAGACCGCATAACAATATACGTTGTTCCCTTTGTCATCGGTATGTTACTTGCCCGAGATTCGATCGTCGGTATCTCAATACCTAGTTCAATCTCGTTACCGGCAAGTCTCTTTACTCGTTTCGTAATACATCATCTTGCAACTAACTCATTAGTTGCAATGCTTGCAAGGCTTATGTGATGTGCATTACCGAGAGGGCCCAGAGATACCTCTCCGACAATCGGAGTGACAAATTCTAATCTCGAAATATGCCAACCCAACATGTACCTTTGGAGACACCTGTAGAGCTCCTTTATAATCACCCAGTTACATTGTGACGTTTAGTAGCACACAAAGTGTTCCTCCGGCAAACGGGAGTTGCATAATCTCATAGTCATAGGAAC